GCCATGTAAGTGCTAATGCGACTGATTCGCTGACATCGAACCCCAGGTAGTGTCTGGATACCTGCAACGTAATTATCGCGCAACGGGGATTACACATATCAAGTTGTTTCGTGAGCGTGGAGGCGTAAGAGTGCGAAAACCGGCGAATCGATCGCCATATTTCCTCATCAAGTCTCGAGTTTGTTTGTTCTGGCCCCCTTTACACTTAGCCACTTCGCACCCACTCAACATAACTCCGAACTTGGCCATATTTCTCAACTTATCCCAATTCCCAAGTTAATTTTTTGATTATTCACCTCGGCGCCGAGACGGGCTTAGACATATAGGTAGCGCAATGCCACAGCAGATGTTTATCCTCATACATAGGATGAGAGATTTACCGGAGATCCGTCTTGGCGAGAGGTGCTTTTTTGGGGGGATTCAACGCATAGTAATGATATAAGAGACTGGACCGGACAATGTCTCACGCCCGAGTAACCCCCGGGGGGGCTGAAAACAGATACCCCAATGTTTCCCCAAGGAACGCCTATCAAACCCTGTCAGCAAACCCCTCACGATCTGAGATCAGCATACTTCTAAGATCCAATAGTCGTGGGGTTGACCTCCTAAAACTGGGTCGCACTTTGTTGAACAGCATTGCAATCTACAATTCTAGTATAGGCTCGCGTGTATGTAATATCTTGAAGGTCAGAAGCTGTTACATTAGCCCGCCTTCAAACCTAGTCACATGGCCGCGGCGGTTACATATTCCATATATCGCCTTCATCGCGCTCATACCTAGGGTGCCAGACCGACGACATACTGCAACGTAAAGCTGGGGAAGCAAGGTTGACTATGTAGCTCTGCAGGCTGCACTTTGGCCGGACTCGTCAATAATATATTTCCTGAGCTATTAAGAAGGTGGGTAAGTGTGCGGACGCCTTCCAATAAATACCTCACAAACGTCGCCTTTGGGAATGACGACCCCACGTGCTGGATCAGAAGCACAGTATTCGCGGGGAAATAGGAGGGAGGGTAGATAAGGGTGATGCTGGTTGGGATGTAATGTACTCACGTATACTCAAATCATCGTCCCAACTATCAGCCTTACAGTAGCATTGAACCCGGCATCCCTAGCGTAGGAACCCCCTGGCCGTATGCTTTGCTTTGATAATAGAGAGTGTTTGCGTAAGCGCAGCAGGGATACGATGAGTGTACTTGTATGTAGAGATGAGATGGTAGGGTAGGAAGTATAAATGCTACCTAAAAGTTGAGGGCTTCTATTGATAGGTTAGGTAGGGTTGAAGTCTAACCACGCTCAACCCATTAGACTCACATGAACAAAGCGCCATATCTCGTATAGTGTCATCTCTGAACCATCGTACTATAGCTAAGCTCGTTATAATTGCCAGACGTATATCTCTACACCGCATCTATGATATGAGAGATGATGTATGTTAGGTACGTAGGTAGATCTTAAGTCTTTGCCACGCCATGATCGTCGGGCGATTTTGGAGTCGGCCCTGATCTTCACGTTATCAGACATATCTGCAAATCTGAGGCTCTGTGGCTGGGCTTCCTACTTACGGCATATATATATGCTCACACAAGCACCACGCACCAAGCACCAAGCACCAAGCAAGGAGTGCAAACCAATAATAAATATAAGACTTACATTACATTGAATTCCGATTGGTCTTTATGTCACACTAAAGACGTTAAGAGGAATAGAAAGGATTGACCAATCACACAGCTAGCTACATATGTTGTCATAATGCAACAAAAACATACTTATGTCCATGTATAATGTAGAACATCAATTTAACGTGCACTCTTTGAGGTACGTACACGGAGGTACCTTCTTGATTCAACCCTTTATGTTTGTACATGTACCTAATGTACCAAAGGCAGCGAAGCCATGCAGCTGTAAAGCATTCAATACGTAAGGCTACCTAAGGTGGGTAGGACCCTGAGATTTATAGAAGCTCTATCGATAAACCCCACCAAGAAATTTCTCTGTAGGTACCTACCTAGGCAGGTACGATCCACCTCAACAGCCCGTACCTGCAAGGGTCCAACTTTAACTCATCACCTACTTTCTACACTCAAAACCCAGCAACAGAGCAACTACAAGCTTCCTCAACCATCCCGCACGTAAAAGACTGACATACCACACAGACCTAGTAGAAACCGCGACGGTTCGAAATCGGACAGTGCTTTTCGATCGACCTGAGAATCGTGCGGTTCTTGGCTTCCTCGACCTAGAACCGAATAAATCTTTGGTATCTTCCCTAGAACGCGGCCTATGCCTCTCCACCAGTCTATGCATTTCCCGACTTCCCAGCACAATGCTGAGATCTCTCAGATTAACCTCATTTTTGATCAATTCTCTCGTTTAATCTGATCCTACTGGGTCCATAGATTCTTGGATTTCGGCTGGCCATCGCTCTAATTACTACATCAACGTCGCAGTTCCTACAAATTGCCTTGTTGCCTGCGCCTACACTCAACCCTTTCTTACCTACCTCAAACTTGCACTTTTAATAGGTGGTCATCCTTCTACAGTCTAGCTCAACTCGGCACCTAAACAAACTTGACGCCTTGTCTCGGGGGTTACCGCTATGAGCGATTCCATGAAGGAAGTTGTCGAGGCGCTCGACCCCGTCTCCCGACATCTTATCCCTCCCGATATTGCCTTAGGAACTCTAGTACCTCTCAAGACCATACTCGAATTAAGAGACAACCTTTCTCTCGGTTTAGCCTATGTCACGCGAGCTCCCAATAAAGTCACTAACGATGTTGTCAAGTCAGTCTAGATGCTTCCCCTAGGAATTACACTACAAGCTAACACTACCTACTATAGTATTGCCCGAGCTCTAGCTGGTGATGATGCAGCTAAGAACCTCCCTCACCTGCGTCGGTGCGTCAAGCCTGCCGACATACCACCTCATCTTAAGACCCAGTTCATGAATGAAGGCAACGGGCGACAGGTTCATCTTGGTAAATCCAACTGGCTTTACATCGTGCTTGGTCCTAAGAATGAGATGTCCTACGACGAACTAGTGAAAGGTCTCGCCAACATTGATGACATTAGGGATGACATCTTTGTAGGGACGATCCCTGTTCCTTTATTGGCACCCACCTCTCAGGTCCAGGCCAACATGTGGTCGCAACAGTTCTGGCAGACTGTCTACAGGAAGAACAACCCCCTTGGCCCTCACCCAAGTACTATCTCTCGTACAGAAGCGGTTGTCTCCCGCGACGCCTCCGTATGGATGACCTTGGCACATCAGATCGCCAAAAAGTCACAGGAAGCCGGTTATGGAGAGCCTATCGGCGCTGTTATCGTCAAGCGTACGATACCCGGAAAGAACGAGTTTGGAAAACAAACCGCCCCAAAAGAAGGCTCTAGAGAGTCCGACTTTTCTAACGGTGAGGGTGTAGGGGCCGACGGTGACAATTGCAATTCTCATCCTCAAACTACTGAAGATGTGAATGGAATTGCACACGGTGCTGCTGAGGTGCCTAATAGTATCGTACGGGACGTCAATCAGCCGGATGCCTCAAACTTAGAGGCCCAGGCCCAAGACTCTACCAAATCGGATCCCGAGGCAAAAGAGACGACCCAAATTGTCGCCATCGCAGCCGATGCTCGCTGGCACCAACAAGAGAAGACGGGACGTATCGGAAACCCCATGGCTCATGCAGCACTCAGGGCTATCAGCATGGTAGCACAGAAGCTAGTGAGAGCTGAGGATCGACCCAAGTCTGAACAGAAGATGGTGGAATTTGAGGCCTTCCAAGACAAGCCTCTACTTAGCGACGAGCAGCTAGTATTCGACGAAGACCACCCCTGCCCTGATGGCTACCTCTGTCATGAGCTTGAACTGTATATGACCCACGAACCGTGCACAATGTGTGCCATGGCAATTTTACATTCCCGAATGGGCAGAATCGTCTTTCGTCATCGCATGCCGTTAACAGGTGGTATGAGCTCCGAGGATCGAGGCTACAACGCGTGCGGAGCCTCTGGTGCTTGCGGGGTAGGTTCGTGTGGTGGAGGCCAAGGCCTTGGGCTTCACTGGCGCAAGGAGTTGAACTGGACTCTCCTAGGCTGGGAGTGGGAATCAGACAGCATTGAGAGCTTACCAGTCGACGCGCACCTGCACGCATAAATATTTTTCACTAATCCCACTACGCATCCGAGGAGTTTGGTTTTGAGGCAAGCAGAGGAATTAGGTAGTCCCCTTGCCGGAATTGGCATTACTGAAAGGCGCGGCGTCTCATGGTTAGGTGGTTATGAAGGGAATTACACTTAGGGCATCATATGCATCCCTTTTTATTCAAGACATTTTATGTATAAGTTGGACCGCGAACCTGATCAGCATAGGCCAGTCCTTGATGACAGAAGTCAAAGGATATTCGTTGTATGTTTTTGGACCGACGCTAGATCGTCATGTATGCTATACCCAATCGCAATAAATTACTATGTATGAAAATAGCTTGCCTACCTATGTATCGAAGGGTTCCCGTGATTAGCATTGCCCATGGATATATACCTAAATGGTATAAGTCGTTAGATGTTGGTGGCCGAGTGACCGAGTTACCGAGTGACCGAGTACATGTAAGCGGTTCCAATGAGCCGCCAAAGTGGGGACCTATAAGCCTATAAGCTAAGACATAAAGCTAAGACGGTGTCTTCTTATCTTATCTCTTAAAGTACCTAAAATGAATTTACTGAGTCGCCTGGTTGTATTTCGTATGCCCACGGCCCACGGGTATGCAATGACTGAGGCCAACTGCTTTGATGGGATTCCCCCTCTTCCCCAAGACTTACATGTACTTGCATCTTGTTCGCATCGTAGAAAGAATAGACAGGGAGAGTTCTGACGAGAACGGACGCCACCTTTGATCCTCTCTTGGGGGTCTTAATTACCCGTCTTCAATGAAAATGACACTCCTTTGACTTGTCCGACACCGCCTTAAACGCACCTTTGCGTCCGCAATAACCTGTCACCCTCCTGTTCTCCGCAACAAAGCCGCGTGTTTCGAACAAGTAAGACAACTCACTATATCTACGGAATCCTCTGGGCTGTTATGGACGATTGCAATCGCGTTAGGCTTTAACGATATACCATTTCCGCTACTCAACATGCCGATAAATCCAACGAAGAAGGGTCAGGCGTCGAAATCCGCTTCGCAACCCGCTAATGCAACCCCGGCCAAGATTAGCAGGAAACGCAAGATGGATGCCGATGCTCAGAAATACTATGCCGTAAGAGCTGGAGTGAACCCGGGTGTCTATTTGACTTGGGCAGAATGCCAGGAGCAGACGGCGGGATTCAGAGGTGCTTCTTGTAGGTAAGCCGAACACCCGTTAGATGCTAACCAAGGAGCTAACGGTAATTCTACAGACAAGTCCTTCCTTAGCAAAGAGGACGCAGAGGCATATGTTGCCGGTAAGAAGACGTCTGCTACTGCCCCAGGCGAAGAGAGATTTTATGCGGTGGCTATCGGTAGAGAGCCTGGAGTTTATACCGATTGGGACACGGCGTCGCTTGCGATCAAGGGATGGAAGGGCCCGAAATACAAGAGATTTGATACTCGTGAGGGTGCAATAGAATACATACGAACCCATGGGAACGAGGCGGCACAGGACGCCCTCTTAAAAGATGAAGGTGCTGGGCCTTCCTCGAAGAAGCGCAAGAAGTCCATAGGCAACGATGCCGGTAAACTTGAAGATGAGAAGGATGTCTTACGCGTCTATACGGATGGGAGTAGCCTTGCCAACGGTCGTGTCGGTGCTGCCGCCGGCGTTGGCGTCTTCTTTGGACACGGTGACGAAAGGTAATTGTCATGAAGCTAGTTTGAATGTTTGGTTTATTTACTAACGTATTTGCATAGAAATATCTCAGAGCGCCTTCAGGGTGAAGTACAGACAAACCAACGGGCTGAATTAACGGCCATTCTTCGAGCCTTAGAAACTGTACCGGTCGAACAAAAAATACGCATCTTCTCGGACAGCAAATATTCGATTAGTTGCGCGACGGAATGGTACGTGAACTGGCAGAAGAATGGTTGGAAAACTAAAGACGGACTGGTGAAGAACAAAGATCTCGTCGAAGCTATCCGAGCTAAGATCGATGAGCGCACCGAAGCTGGAACGAAAACTTTCTTCCAATGGGTAAAAGGCCACGCGGCTGATCCCGGGAATGTAGCGGCAGACGAGCTCGCCGTGAACGGTGCAAGACAGAGGATATAAACATGTATCACGATGACTTGCATAATAAGATCCGAACATCGCTCACGAGGTGCACCTCGATGAGCTCACGATGCTAACGCCGGGCAACGCGCAATGATACCACCCAGAGGGGAGTGCCGTCTCTCTTTACCTACTTGAAATTTTCATGTTGATTAGTTCTGATATAAACATTACGTTCCTACGAACAAGATGACTCGTCGGGGCCAATGGTGCAGTATAATATAGTGCAGTATAATATAATCCACTGCCTTGACATGCAGTGATACATAACAATGATAGTTACACTATTGCTACCTGACTATCACCTTTTCTAAGCGACGATGATTGAAATCTCCGCTAAAACGTAGTATAAGTTTGATGCCTAATCTTATGACATGCAACTCAAAGCCACAGCGAACTCGGACCGAAGCGATATCATCCGGGATCGTTTTCGTTTAGTTCACAAAATACGAAGTATAGGTAACTCCCGCGTTAAAAATGTGTGTGCGTATCTAAGATAGACTCATATGTAGGCAGGTAGATACCTAAGTAATATACACATTCTAGACGAAGATAAATTGCGTAATACCACGCTGTGTTCTAGTAATAGGTTCGTGACTAGTTACGATAACCTAATATAATATAATTCATATAATTCACATAATTCACATAATTCAGACAATTCAAATGTCCGGTTTTATTTGGTTGTGTAACAGAACCAAGTTCCCATTCGCCAAGGCGTGGAAGTTACCGATCTAAGATAAACTTATTATAAGTGGGGTATGAAAGCAGCCAAGTTTTTATTGTCCTTATTTTAATTCGTCGTCCTCCATGTCCTTTCTTTTCTTCTTTGCATCGCTCGCAGATCTACAGACCGATAATTATACACACCTCTTACATACACCTATCTGCTAGTAGCATTATTTCTTTTCTACTGATTCCAGAGCCTAAGTGATACTTTTATAACTAAATCACCAAATATATTATCCTGTTAATTACGATAGAGAAAGAGCAGCACCTAGCAGTACCTCCCAGACCAATACCGCCCTTTAGAAGTCGCGGCCAACCTGGTACTATAGTGCTGGTAACCAAGGTAGTCGTTCAAATAATCTTGTAATAAGTACATAAGAGTCAACGTGGCGGTTAACTCGACATCTACTACAACTTCAACAAAACCAAATGATTCAATAACATTCACTTCACCGGCATACCACTGCTTCCTTGCCTTGCGCTGCTGCAAGGACGATCCGGGAGTTACTTGACAATCTGTCCGAGTTTGATCTCTGACTAACAATGCCGACTCTCGCCCCTACCAACTTCAATATTGTCGTCAGTGTGCTGGGAGGGTGGATATCAGTCTTCGGTCTGGTATCTTACCTTCTCAAGGAGAATTTCTATCTTTCTGAAGCTCGTAAGTACAACAATAGTTAAACAGTGCTCGAAATGGGGGGCTGACATCTTACTTAGTCATATCACTCCTGGCTGGCGTCGTCTTCTCTCCCCACGCTGCCAACTTTGTCCGCCCGCTTGAATATGCAGGTTCGGAAGAAAACTTAAATGCGATTGTAAGCGATCCTTCGAGACTCATCCATTTAAATCAAACCACTATATGCTCTTATTTATTAGGTTTGCCCTTGATAAATAGCACTTATGAGTCTTATGATCGAATAAAACCGGTGATTTTAGGTAGACACAACTAACACTTTATCATAGACGCTGTACTTCACCCGCCTTGTTCTCGGAGTCCAGCTCGTTCTAGCTGGCGTTCAACTACCTAGTCGCTACTTGAAGAAAGAATGGAAACCGCTGGCTTTACTTCTGGGGCCGATCATGATGGCGATGTGGTTAATAACAAGTCTACTCGTCTGGGGTCTAGTGCCAAACTTACCTTTCCTTCATGCTCTCGCGATTGGGGCTTGTGTGACGCCAACCGATCCCGTGCTGTCTAATGTTATAGTGAAGGGGAGGTTTGCTGATCATAATGTCCCCAAGGACCTCCAGAAGATCATCATTGCGGAGTCTGGAGCAAATGATGGCCTTGGATATCCCTTCTTATTCTTTGCCTTATACCTCGTTAAGTACATTGGCGACGGTGGCGTTAATGAGCAAGGAGGTGCCGGCCTCGCCATGGGCCTATGGTTTGGAGAGACCTGGGGATATACTATTCTTCTCAGCGTGGTATACGGTGCGGTCGTTGGCTGGATCGCCAAGGAGTTGCTTCATTTCTGCGAAGAACGTAAATTCGTGGATCGCGAGAGCTTCCTCGTCTTTGCACTCTCGCTCGCGCTCTTCATTACTGGTACTTGTGGTATGATCGGTAGTGATGATATTCTAGCCTGCTTTATTGCCGGGAACATTTTTACTTGGGACGACTGGTTCCGCCTAGAAACACTCGATGAGGTTCGTGCGCATATAAATTGAATATGCTGTTATAATATTTATTTGCTAACTATGGATTATTAGTATGTATTCTTTCATATCCTAGGGCAGCCCCCTGGTATTAGCTGGACCTCTACTAACCATTTTCTCTGTTTCTAGTTCTCTGCAACCTACTATAGATATGCTTCTCAACGTGACTATATTCATGTGGTATGGCGCGGTATGCCCGGTATGTATATACCCGTGTTCTCTATTTGCCCCTATTATAATACAAAGATTCAGAGCACCATACAAGCAATGTTTGCCAGAACGAGTATCTTGAATTATCTACGCCGAATATTTTCTATAAGTAACAAACACTAACTGAACATACCTATGCAGTGGCATAGTTTCGTGGATAATAGCATCATTCCGATTTACCGCCTGGTCCCACTCGGAATCTTAATACTGGTATTTAGGCGTTTACCACTTGTCCTAGCATTCTATAAGAAAATCCCCCAGATATACGGCTTTCATCAGGCAATCTTCATGGGTTTCTTTGGGCCAATTGGGTGCTCAGCTATTTTCTATCTATACGTGACGTTAGAATTCGTCGATACATTGAACCCTAACCAGGGAAGCGTGGCGAGGTGGGATGTAGCTCATCTTAAAGAGAGTGTGTCGGTATTAGTCTGGTTCATGGTAATATGCAGCGTTGTAAGTATTGTCATACCGCGGATATCGATATCATACTAATTACTTGTCAGGTTGTTCATGGGCTTAGTATACCCCTGGGAAAGTTTGGATTTTACCTCCCTCGAACTATTTCAAGGACTTTTTCCTCAGCTGAGGACCTGCCTTTCCAAATAGGTGCACGAATAAATCCACGGAGCCGTTCTAGGGACAGGACAGCGACTCATACCCCTGCCGACTCTCGCTCCGTATCTGTGCGACCCGTTTATAGGGTTGGTGGTTCCATCATTACGGAGCACACGGGGACTGCGGCGGATGCTGCTGAACTTGTTGAATCCGGAGATGATCTTGAAGCGGGTTCGAAACCTCTGGAGCTAGCATCGGGATCGCCTCACAGCACACCGCCATCTACCCTACCTGGCCGCACGATCCGCTTCCCCGATGAAGTATCGTAAGCTGGCACAGAATTTCAAGACCCTAAGAGGAATGCCACAACCGCATTGTGAGCTGTTTGGCACCTCCCATCAACAACGCCCTAGCCACTCTTTCTTCCAGCACGACATCTACTAAGACACAACGTAGAGCCATCGCATCGATCATTTACTACGCATTCACTATCTACTAGCGGGACAATAAGCAGGGTCGCATTCAGGTAGAAGGACTAGAGTAAGGACTAGAGTCACGAGAACGGCTTTATCAAGTTATTTCAATACTACCTTACCCAGGACGCTTAGGAGCTTCCATCTTTGTGGTAGATAGATTTTTTTTCCCCTTTGAAATTCGTTCGGCAGTCTGATCACCTTGTAATTTAATAGTAACACACTCCTCTCATTTTATAATATATTTGCAAATACCGGATTCCTACACTTCATTCGTGTTTCGGAGTCCGGTGATGTCAACTACAACATAAGGCGGATGTCCGGTAGTGACGGTTACAGTAATCAATCATACACCGGCTTACTCAAGCCAAACTGCCCGAATCGGCTCAAATACATATATGTCATCAGCTATTAAGCCACCATCTTTCCTAAGTTGGCCTTCTCTCTTGTATAATTGGCCGCCTTGGCTGTAGCTTGGTCTAGCCTTGCGAGTGACGAACCCTGGATCTGCGTGGGGGATCAAGGGTCCTAGGTTAGGGTCTTTTGTTTTTTCTTGCCTCAGCCTTCGAAGTTGATTTGAGTCGGTCTTGCAAGAGGGGAAGACATCGCAACTCCACAACCTCCCGTGCTATACTGTCCGAGGTCTTTGGATAGACCCATACACACTGAAAGCTCAGGTGGTGATATATCGATTCCCCCTCTTTTCATATGCCAACTGCACCGAGACGGATACCCTTGCCTTAGTAGATATATCGTAAGATGGCGGGACCGTTGCAGTGTTTACCCAAGGTACAAAAATCCAGACGGAAGAGTCTCGCATAATCTAAGTACTGATTACCGATATCCATTTTTAATTAACGCCAATATGTGCGTTCTCCTGGCTATCTCACCCGTCAACGAGGGAGGTGGGGCTGGACCTGGACTGTCTAATTGTCCGGTGGCTACGAGAGTGGACGGGGGTGGAACAAAACACAGGTAGAAGAAGTTGCAGACGAAGGGATACGACGACATTTCGAACTCCGCCAAGTTTTCTAGGCGGAGGGAGCATGGCTTTCGAAGCAGCTGCCCATTCCGCGTACGCTAAACCGGCATCGTAGCGACGACGGAGAAGGTTTGTCTATCCCAGTGCGACTCTATCCTAGTGTGACCCTCCATAATCTCAATAAGGCGGGGAGATAACGGGGTTTTACCATCGGGGAGTTTTCCCCGTAGATGCGTGGGTTGGGGCGCGAATGGCGGGCACGGAGAACACGTAGTAATGGTAATGGTAGTGGTAATAGTAGTGGTAGTTGTAGTTAAAGAAGTAAAGGGAAGAAAAGGGAAGAAGCAGAGGTAGAAGCAGAAGCGGCTATGGAAGCGGGCACCGCTTACTTGGACAAGAGTTCGAGACTGGCGTGTCGTCAGAAAGAGAGAGCAACGACCTTCCGGAGGGAGGAGGGAGGTGGGAGATGCACAGTTGTGGATATTGTGAAGGAGGTTGGCTGTGGTTGTATGTATTGTGTATGTAGGATAGAGTCATCAGTCCCTCCACCAGATACCTATCAGTCAGATTTACCTATCAGATAAGGGAAGGGACCCTTGGATAATAAGTTAGTTTTGTCTGGGGGACCAGTTAGAGACCAGTTAAAGACCAGTTAAAGACCAGTTAAAGACCAGACTGGATGCAGGAACAGGAATGGGCATTGGATGCTGTCTGCAACCCTACCTAAGCACAGTAGTAGAAATATGAAAAATAAATAGTATAGACTAAAAAATAGTATAGGCTATAAACTTAACCAGCCGTGAGTAGAACGTAAAAATATCTTGTACCTGTTATTTCCGAATCTTTAATGGCATGAATAGGAATTAGGTACGTACATACTCAATCCAGTCCTAGGTGTATTCCTTAAGGGTATCAGGTAGGCGAAGAAACCCCGCGAGTTGTGGTCAGCAACATCAAAGCATGCCCGATGACCGGCGTTTCTTGGTTGCTTAGAGGATTCAAAGCTGAGGAGGACTGAGGCCAACTGCGTGATGTGGCTTTTTGGTAGAAATACAATATAAACGATGTAAACGATGTAAACGCATAGGTAAGGACGGGAAGTTTAAAAGCACGATGGCTTAATTGAGCTTATTTGTTAGCCTGGTTATAGCTTGGTTATAGCATTGCCTGCATACATAAGGTTAAGCTCTAGGAGACCGACCTCTTATGGTAAGGTAAGGTATTGAAGGTAGAGCACACGACCAAACATTAACCTAGGTATATGTAGTTGCGGTTGCGCTTGCTCTTCGTTTGATATCGAAGATTCCGCACTAACACGATTATAATTTAGTAGCGGCAATGTTACACGTGGTTTAAGCGAGATTACTCGATTACTACATAGTTCGCTGCTAAGCCACTAACAATTTTCGGAGATACTACATAGGTATACCTTGGTTAACTCATAGACTCTTAAAGTACATTTTTTCGCACTTTTCACTCTTCCAAGATAGGTAGGAAAACCCCGGTTTTTCCGGGCACCGGGGGGTGGCTGCCGCGCACAACCTTGAAAGTGTCAAGTACCTCCTAACTCTTAGGTCTATGTAATTACATAGTCTGAGTTAGCGTGCTCGAACGAGCTTACCCTTTTGCGCTTGAACACCCAGCACAGCACCATCCAAGCCCAGCACCCAGACAAACCTCGACCGTCTTTTAATTCTCCACCCCAACTCTGCGCTTGTACATAGTACACTGCTTGTGCCCCCTGTCGGGTTCGATGCTCACGTTGTCAGGGTTCTTCTATCTTAGACCTGGACAAATTGATTGATCCAAAACGCTGCTTGTCTTCTCTCCCATCTTAAATCATCCATCCCACATCCATATCCCGGCCTTTGGTGAAATCTAAAGTCAACAAACCACACCACACCACCATTACGGTCAATACATTCATTCCTTTCTTCTTTTTACTATCGCCTCTTTTCCTACTGAGTCATCTTCAATTGAATGCGAGCTTTGACGTATTGCAATTCCTATATCGAGACGGATAGACCTCATTATAGTCCACACTTCTGCCAAAGCAGAACTTGTATTAGGACTTACCGCAACTTTTCACCGAGTCGGCACGCTATTCCGAGCCCAAGCATCGAACGCTAAACATCCTCGAGTCATCGCTCGGATATCGAGTCTTGCCTATAATATCTGCCATCGACGTCGTTGGGAATTCTCATACTCGTTGATCCATTTTCAATTGAGCTGAACTAAAAAAGGAAGCATGTTGCTGTAACTTTTAGAGCATAGCTACATCTGATACTGTTGGACTTGTTGGAAGATAGCGCTTCGGAAGATTACCTTGACGTTGATCTCATCTTTAGGGGTTTCTATTAGTTTATATACGTCGCCGGTGTGGACAGTATAGGGTAATTTGTTGGTTGGTGTTGTGTTGGATCACGACTTCTACCCAACACGCTGACACAACTGCGTATAGTATCCCATTCTTGGCGTACCCAAGAACCGCGTGAGCTGGGCCATGACGACTTCTGGTTCCTCCCCGTTCAGTGGGACGAACCATTTTACTTCTGATTCGGGGATGTTACCTCCCTCTTTCGCGGCCAGCAACGAGTTCGACTTCTACGAGGATGCTCACTCATCAGGCACGAATATATTTGATTTTACCAGCGGCGAACTGTTAGACACAGGTCTCTACGATGATCTGAAGCCTTTTCCACCAGGCCTTGGCCAACCGGAACAGGTCAACCCCAATAGACCTCTACCTCTTCCTTCGCACCGGGGCTCTGCGTCTTCCTCTTCCTCTTCCTCCCAGATAAGCGGCAATTCGATATCCGCGAAAACGAGTCAGAGCTCGACAGAGGCCATGATGACCGACGAGCCCTTTTCCGGCTGGAACCTCGAACATGAATCTAGATATATTGACGCGAACTTTATGTTCGACACTATAGACCCTACTACTATGGAAATGTCCCGTGTTTTCGACTTTGACAGCGCTTCTAGTAGTCCTAGCCCCGCTACGAATGGTCTCATACAAGAGTCGCCTGTAGCAGCGAATTCCATGTCGAATGCCCCTGCCGCTAAGCGGATCAAGGGTCATCATAAGACACAATCGGTCCGTTCCGTTCTTATTCACATGCGTTAACTCTCTTCACACTAACTAGTACTTAGCAACATTCTATAACAAAGTCGATGAACGGGCTAAAAACGAGCGGTTCCAGAGAAGGCTCGCCCACGTCGAATATGATAATTAGCCAAGAAACCTCTCCAGCGGCAATACTTAACAACTCACCCCCCCCCGATAATATCACGAGCCGTCTTGGTGCCGTGTCAAATCAGCAGAACTCCTTACTGTCATGGCCTCCTACAGCGAGTCCATGGGCTAACAACGTAGCCCCCAAACCCTCCTTTAGACGAGATCCGAATAGCATGCCAGCTAATAGTCTCTCGTCTTATTCACCTCAGATGAGTTTGGCGCCGGCGCAGAGGCCACGACTGGTGATCCAACCTACGCCTCTCAAGTCCCGAGTTGAGACCCAAATCCCAATCAAGCTTACTATCCACGCACTACCTCATGGTATTAAGAGGCTTCACTTACCAACTCATACGATCTCAAAGCCTAAATTATTAGCAAAACCCGGGGCGACGCGGTCTCCTGACATGCTCGAACTATACACTATGTTGGTTTGTACTAGTGCCATGCAAGACCCTATGAAGCTCCAGCGTGCTTTCCGTCGAGCTGCGGTGGCCGGGCATGACACCGCAAGTTTAAAGAGGTCAGACGACGGAAGTGAGGATGATGAGCATAAGCCTCAGAATGGTGGCGAAGTACGAATATGTGCTGGTTGTATAACTCGAGAACGGAAACGTGCTAGCCGCAAGAAACACAAGA